GACGCAATTGTCAACTGTAGATACTTTTGTGTATGGTAGTGGAATGGTGCACCCGCCTGCGCTAACGGTTTACGCCGGCAGGGCACCAGTGGAGGATGATAATAGCATATGCTGATGCTGCAAGGTCACTCTATTCTCCAAAATTTAAATTTAAAAATGAATCTGTATCTGTAGTACTGTAAACATGTATAACATCTATTTGAAAAGAATACGAGCTGAGTTTCTTGTCAGTTATTTTCATCTCGAAATCATTCCGAACTGACGGTAGATTTGACATATAAGAGTCTGTAATAGACCTACATGAATGAAGATAATTTGAATTTGAATTTTGCAATTTCCTAAGACAAGTGAAGTATCACAATGTTATCTGGAAATTTATTTATAGCTTTTGCCCGCGGCTTCGTTCGCGTTAATTTATCCCTTTATCCCTTTGTTTTATAATGTGAAAGTCGTAGGTAGAACTGGTCTGTTCGGTCTACGAACACTGATTAGACTATTTGCTTTTGCAATAGCATATGTTGGTGGTCACTCTATTCTCATAAATTTGAATTTAAAAATGAATCTGTATTATTGTAAACATGTCCAACATTTATTTGATGAGAATACGAGCTGAGTTTCTTGTCAGTTCTTCTTATCTCGAAAACATAAATACCATCCTGATCATCTGGATAAATGGAGGTCTTCCACAGTACGGTTTTCTAGAAACTTTTTGCCTCGCACAACCACATTGTGGAATCACCTTCCAGCAATGGTATTTCCGAACCGATACGATATTGAAGCCTTCAGAAAAAGAGCTTATTCCTTTTTTAAAGGCCGACAACGTACTTGCAATTCCCCTGGTGTTGCGGGTGCTCTTGGGCGGCGGTAATCACTACCATCAGGTGAGCCGCATGGTTATTGGTCCCCCTATTTATAAAAAAAAAAATCATTCCGAACTAAGCGGTAGATTAGACATATAAGAGTCTGTAATAGACCTACATGAATGAATAATTTGAATTTAGAATATAGCAATTTCCTAAGACACTATATCACGACGCTATCTGCGCAAGTTGTACTATATTATTTGGATTATTTGCAATTTCGTAAGAGAAGAGCGACGTCGTGAGTGAATTTGAATTTTTTCATACGCGATGCAAATTAAGATGGCTGTGTGTGTTTACTCAGCCGAGACGCTGTGCCCGTATGAGATACGCCACGATCCCAAACTTTTGAATTATGCTAATGTTGTATTACGGGAAACCTGTTAAGCCTTCGGTATTACGAGTGTGTGGAAAGATACTGTATCAGATTTGATTATGTTCTGCTTATTAAAAAGTGTAACCTTATTGACTAGTGGGAAGGGGGTTTTTTGGATGATAATGGAATGGTGCACCCGCTTGCGTTGACGGTGTAGGCTAGCCGAAGGCACCAGTGAATGAAATGGGTATTTTTTGTGGATAATAATGGTGTACCCGCCTGCGCTAATAGTTTATGCTGGTGCCCACCAGTAGAGAATGATAACATGAACATTAACAAATAGATACAGAAAAATAATACATATATATGCACATATGCAAATATATAAAATTACTAATATACCAATATAAAACATATAAGTTTATGGATTATAAAAAATCTTCTATACATATAAATAAAATTGAGGTCAATTCAGTTAGCCGACGACAGTCACATCCTGACAGTCAGTTAGATCGATACAAACGATCATGCTCATGAATACAAACGTTTGCACCGTTGCAGAGATCAGGCTGGCAGCTGTCGGAAGCGGTGCAGCCTCTAAACCGCTGCACCACCGAAGTAATCAATATACATAAATTTATAATAACATAGTGTATTCATGTAACTAATATAAATTCAAGCCCACATATGTACATACAAACTGTATGATGTTTTATTCCATCTAAAAGTGCCATAAACAAGCGCTGCTTATAATAAAATTCAATAGCGTCGTAAAGTTATAAAACGTACCAGAAGAGTGTTCGTTGCTATAAATTTGTATCATCGTATCGCTTATGAGAAAATCTTTTACTAATGACTTCATTAAGGGTCGGCGCACACAGGCCGCTTTTAGTGACAAGAATTGGCAATTTACTTATCTTTGAAATATTTATTTCGCTGGACTTGCGATTTCGTCCGCGTGAAATTTTAACTTTTATTCTTCTAAATAAAAGTGGCCCCTAAATTCACTCCTTATTACATCAGCTACCTGCCAAAAAAATCCCGTCAAAATCAGTCCAGCCATTTCAGAGATTACGTATTTTCAGACCTACTCATTACGCTCACAAAATTTCATGAAAATCGGTCAAGCCGTTTCGGAGGAGTGTGAAACGAAAACTGTGACACGAGAACTTTTATATAACACTAGCTGTGCAAACTACTTCGTCTGCGTGGGAATTTAATTTAATTTTCTAAAATGAGAGTAGCCTAAGTTCCTCCTTATTACAAGTGCTACCTGCCAATAAAAGTCCCATCAAAATCAGTCCAGCCATTCCAGAGATTAGCCGGAACAGACGGACAGAAATTGTAAAAAATTATATATTTTACAATTTATATTCATAAGCATGTAGTAAAAAGCGGTTATTTCAATATTACAAACAGACACTCCAATTTTATTTATATGTACAGATTTAGTTCAGGCTACAAATGGCTCATCTTATAAATACTATACAGACGAACATATATATGTATGATACTGAAATTAATAGAAAAAATTAATAGAAATTGTCTGTATGGTCACGGCACAGATGACGACAATCTCGAATGCATCGCGGGTTTTGTTTGTAATACAGAGGCATATCACAAAGCAATCGCTATAAAAAATAGGGGTTGATACTGGCGATGAAAATTTAGGGTATACAACCCTAGAATTTTAGGGGTTTAGGGATGAATGACTCTTATTTCTTAGGGGTATAAAATAATTTTTAAAAAATGACCAAAAAAAATTATATAAAAATATCTGTAGTGGACATCATTATCATAGGGATATAGAAATATAAAGTACTATAATATAACTCAATACCATCTCTTCTAAAATACCCCTCAAGTCTTGTCCCTGACGGGTCTAGGTAGCAAACTTTGAAAAAGGGCAAGGCACAATAGATGTATGTAGGTCATAATGTCACAGGTCTTAGCCAAAAATCCCTATAAAAAAAATGGATTCGCTTACTTTAAGTATGAGTACTGTTCTGAATATCTATTTTTTTTGATTTCGGAAGTTCTAATAGAACATTCATTCATTCATAATTTAAGAGCTACGCTCTTGTCAATTGGGAGCTCTCGCCACTTTCCGCGATCTTCCATCATGCTCTTTAATTCTTGATACGACACGACTCCCATTTTGTCCTCAATTTGTTTGATGCTATTCCTTGGTGTTCCCCTCCCCCTCTTTCCTTCTATTTTCCCCTCAATAATAATTTTCATGAAATCATCGTGCCGTATCAAGTGTCCTAACATTTTTCCTCGTCTATTTTCTATTGTGTTCAATATCTGCCTTTTTTCTTTTACCCTGTGTAGTAGTACTTCTTCGTTTCTTATTTTATCCTTCCAGTCCACCACTAGAATACATATTGGTTTCATATTCAATTCATTATTTGATTTGTTAGCTTTGAGACCATCACATTGGTCCTTCGAGCCGGATCGCTAAACGCGATTTTTGTTGTTACAAAAAGTAACTCGTGTGTATAGGCTGTAATGTTTGGTGACGGAATTGAATGAATCATTGACGCTAGCTTTTTATTGATTGTTACTTTAGATAAACGACGATATGCAAAGTGACATATTTGCTGTTTATTGTACGTCAAAATTTATAAGTCATCGTTATATTACAGGTATTTGGTCTCGTTCTGTTACATAACATGGCAACATGGCTCGTGGAAGCAACGCCAACAAAATCCTCGGTGCAACCACAGCGTCGAGATTTTGCCGCCGTTGTCGCTACCAAACCGACTGCTTCGGTATGGCGGCGTGTGCCAAACCCGGCACTAAACTTTGACCCTACGTGTGCTGCCACTGGTAACCGCGACGATGATGGCTTCATCGTGGTACAAAAAGAAAGAAGGCATGCAAACAGGGTCAGCAGAATCATTTAACTGACTGCACTCACTGGGCCCCAACTTTCTGCTGCGCGCTGCTACCGACCACGGCAATGTACCTGTCCCGTCTACATTACGCCGCAAGACGAGGACATTGTCGGTCTATACCGGCAGGTAACCTCACATTGAGGGTGACGCAGCTGGAGTCGAGTCACAACGTGAGTTTCAAGGCGTTTGTGGCGCGGGTCCTCACCAACATGCTGCCGACCTTTATGAAGGAGGTCTACTGGCCAAAAGGTGTGGTGTATCTGCGCTACCGTCGCAGATTGCCATCGTCAGTGCCGTGACCACCACAGACAATATCAATAATATATTCATCATCATCTCAGCCCGGAAGACGTCACTGCTAAACAAGCCCCAAAGATCTTGCGAAGATCTGTCTGGTGCTCGCATTCAATGCCTTCATGATCTTGACCGAATCGTCAGTCCTGTACTGGGCCTTCCTGCGTCTTCCGGACCGCGGTCGCCACTAGAGGACTTTCCTGCCCCAATGGCCATCTATACTACGAGCTATGTGCCCTGCCCATTGCCACTTCAATTTTGCAATTCTTTATATCAATTTTAAAATATTACATCCTAATCGAATATATAAATGGACCCAGTGCTTCTGGACGTGGACATAGATATATGAATTATATGTATCCCTGTATGTTATAGGTTACTAACATAGTTTTATAAGTTTTTACTAACACAATATGGATGTAATCCAAATTAAAATAAATAATAATAGGATCAAGTAGCCTGAAATAACTAAATAATAAAACATGCCTATTCCAAAACAAACTAAATCTTTACTCTCAAATGATTAGAACGGAAGAAAAGTAGCAAAATCTATGGAGACCTCGTATCACATATCACAACATATATGGGAATATTTATCTGCAATATTTATATGGTAATAACTGTTAGAAGGGGTTTAGTAGGTAGGGTAGGGGGTAGGGGCATATAACGTGAAGTCAGCAACGGCGGCCATATCGCATTACGTAAATTGAACGGAAATGGGGAACTATTTCATTGTGTTCCCCTTATTCAGGGGCAAATTGATGTTTTTCTATACGATGTGGACTTATATATCATAACGGTTAAGCCATTACTATAAACATACGAGGGTGCTTCTAACGTTTTGTTCTGTTATTGTAAGTGAATTTTGTTTTTAATAGCGCTCGTTTGTGACTCAATTGCCTGAACACGATGTAGAGACAATAAAATATGTTTTCACGAATTTAACGGCCTCGGTGGTCTGGTGGCTTTATCTCCGATGATGCGGGTTCGATTTCTCGCACGGTGCGAACATTTATATACTTGACTACGATTTTTTATATTGGTCTCCTACATGTACTTATCGCAAAAATTAGGGTAACAGATTTTTTCAAATATCGGTGATTTTCAAAGGCTCTATTTTAGTGAAAAATGGTTGTACAGAAAATAAAAGAAAAATCCGATATTTTAAAAAGATATTAGAAGAAGGTAGTTTCTGTTTAGTACAAATATTGTAAATAACGCCATCTAGTATTTACAGACCGAACTAAGTTGTTTGTCACAAGATAACCGTTACCCCTGCTTTTCTCCCTACTACACTGACTTCCGGTCTATAAATACGGAGGTCGGTAGTTGAATAATCCTCTTTCGTTGGGTGAACCGCGGCATTCAGTCGACGAGCACAGAGCGTGCCGGTTGTGTTTTGGATACTAAAGTGAATTATATTAGAAATGGGTTTATTGCGGTCATAGTTGGGCCTGGGGAGAAGGTGCAAGTAGTGAAGGTGAGTGTTAATGCATTCTAAAATGACCTTTTAAACCTACACCCGTATCGTAGTCACGGGCGCTGCCAGGTTTCCTTGCTGAAGCCGGCTTCAAAGCCTAAGTCCTCATCACAATTAGTGGTTCTTACACTTCAAGCGAAACGTCTACCTAAATATACCTCGGTGTCAGCAAGCGTACTCGTAAAATAGTCATTTATTTATTCCAGTGATGATACACCAGCCGCCTCTAATTTTCCAGCCGAGATTACGTTCATTACACTCGTAATATTACCGGTGGTAATAAAGCGATGTGTGAATGCCACCCACTCACGTGTTATCTCGCGTGATTTATTCGAGCGGCTTGTTTGTGTGAACTCCACTGACATTTGCGAACAGTCATATTGCAATCATAATGTTGGGACGTGACTTCCAATTGCCAATAGAGTAGATTCTATCTATTCTATTGACAATTGGAAGTCTACTAAACAGATTTCGATGAAACTTTACACACATAGAATAGCCTATAATGTATCATAGGGTATAATTTTCACTCAGGTAAAACCACGCTAGTATAGCCATATACGAATTCGAATACAGGCTATCAGAGTTTACTCTGATCTTCCAATGGTCGCAGATTTAATTCCTCGCACAGGACAGACATTTTTATCCATGTATGATTGTTTGTATAGTATAGATAATCATTTATTCAAATAAACTTAAAGATAGCACTTTTGAATAGTCGTAACAAAATTTTTTTTTTAATCTACCGCTCATTCGGAAAGCTGTCTCATCACAAGAAGAACGAGTAAGAAACTTGTGTGTTGCTCTTTTAAATAATCCTTGTAAGTTCACATTTTACAAGTCGAAACGTGTGAATACAAACTACCAACCAGAAGTAATTTCTTAGGGTCAAATATAAATCTATACATATAAATAAAATTGGAGTATCTGTTTGTAATATTGAAATAACCGTTTTTTACTACATGCATATGATACGGTACATATACTAAAATATTTTTTTTATCATTTTTGTCTGTCGGTCTGTCGGTCTGTTTGTTCCGGCTAATCTCTGGAATGGCTGGACCGCTTATGACGGGACTTTTTTTGGCAGGCAGCTGATGTAATAAGGAGTAACTTAGGCTACTTTTATTTTAGAAAAAATCTTTTATATTAGAAAAATAAAGTTAAATTACACGCGGACGAAGTCGCGGGAACAGCTAGTATTCAATAAGATTAAATCAGTCGTAGTGATAAGAGCAGACCAGTCCCTTCAAGCAGCACTCGTTCACGAGTATGACGTGTTAACTATCGTGTGACGCACCATTAATTAAAAATGGTAAAGTCAATAATCATGTAACCTGAAACGGAACGTCAGAGGCCAGAGCCAAACTAATCTATGTGACAAAAAAAAAAAATTATAATAATGTCAGTGAAACAAATAAAATAAATAAAAAAAAAAAATCCGTTACTTTTTTTTAAAGATTTAAGCATACATTGGGATGGACAGACAGCGACAGCGACTTTGTTTTATACTATGTAATGATTATAACAACTAATATATTATTTCACCATCGTCTGACACGTGAAGCAGGAAGATAAATGATTAATGATGGCGTCAGTAAACCCATAAGTGAATAGTGACTGTGCGATTCGTGTTAGGGCATCTCTGATAGCTGATACGGTGTGGATATGTAACGCATACCAAATTGATATATCGTTTTTATATACCACTAGCTGTCCCGGCAAACGTTGTTTTGCCTTAAAATAAAAAAAAAATTAGGGGTGGACTACCCCTAATATTTAGGGGGATGAAAAATAGATGTTGGCCGATTCTCATACCTACTCAATACGCTCACAAAATTTCATGAAAATCGGTCAAGCCGTTTCGGAGGAGTATGGGAACGAAAACTGTGACACGAGAATTTTTATATAACACTAGCTGTGCAGGCTACTTCGTCTGCGTGGAATTTAATTTAATTTTTCTAAAATGAGAGTAGCCTAAGTTCCTCCTTATTACAATTGCTACCTGCCAATAAAAGTCCCATCAAAATCAGTCCAGTCATTCCAGAGATTAGCCGGAATAGACGGACAGAAATTGTAAAAAATTATATATTTTACAATTTATATCCATATGCATGTAGTAAAAAACGGTTATTTCAATATTACAAACAGACACTGCAATTTTATTTATATGTATAGACTAGATTTTGCCCCCGGCTTCGCTCGCGTTAATTTTAGGGGTGGAATTTATCAAAATCCTTTATATGGGGATGCCTACGTCGTAGTAGCTTTATGCATGCAAAGTCTCAGCGCGATCGGTTTAAAATTGACAAAGTTTCATACAAACTTTCATCCCCTATTTTATCCCCTTGGGTGTAGAATTAATCAAAATCCTTTCTTAGCGGATGCCTACGTCATAACATCTACCTGCATGCCAAATTTCAGCCCGATCCGTCCAGTGGTTTGGGCTGTGTGTTAATAGATCACTATGTCAGTCACCTTTGAGTTATATATATTTAGATTAGTCAAATATGGCGACCCTTCTGAAATAACTGCTCAGAGTCGCTTCTGCGAGTTTTGGGCTGTGTGTTGATAGATCACTATGTCAGTCACCTTTGAGTTATATATATTTAGATGTATTACAATTTTAATTAATATGTTAAGTTAAAACTAATTTGTTTTCTTTTTATATATGGCCCCATGTGGGTAAAAGCCTCCTCCAACCTGTTCCATTGTCCTCTATTCCCAGCCATGCTCATCCAGTTTTCCCCGGCCATTTCTTTAATGTCATCAGACCATCTTGTTCTTTGTCGACCTTCTCGCCTTTTCCCAGCTACTTTGTTAGTTGGTGAGTCCAACTTATAATATATATTTGTAACTTTACTAATGTTTGTTTTGCGAAAGAGATTAGATTAGTCAAATATGGCGACCTTTCTGAAATAACTGCTCAGTCACTTCTGCGATTTTTGGGCTGTGTGTTGATAGATCACTATGTCAATCACCTTTGAGTTATATATATTTAGATTAGTCAAATATGGCGACCCTTCTGATATAACTGCTCAGAGTCACTTCTGCGATTTTTGGGCTGTGTGTTGATAGATCACTATGTCAATCACCTTTGAGTTATATATATTTAGATTAGTCAAATATGGCGACCTTTCTGATATAACTGCTCAGAGTCACTTCTGCGATTTTTGGTCTGTGCGTTGATAGATCACTATATCAGTCACCTTTGAGT